GCTCCTTAATGGTGGCAGCCATGCACAGGAACCTTGGGGCTTTCAGAACCCTAAACCGTGTCCTGTGGCTGATGGACTAGTAGCTGGCTGGGTTAGCATGGGAATCGCAGGACGCAGAAGAGCAGAATGTGCTCTGGGAAGGAGGAATGGCTTATCCAGGCATCGCTGGTGATGTCCACCTGTTGGAAGGGCCACCCACAGTTGGCATGGCTACCTGAGCCTCACTGTCACCCTATGGTGGTAGAACTTCCCCATTCTGCTGTCCTGGAAGCCATGTACTCAGTCTTAGCCATATGAAGACTGAGCTGTACTTTCTATGTGGAGATGACTGGTAGGAGGATGGAAGTGCCAGACTAATGCATGGGGCTGGAGAGCAGGTTAGGACTGCAAGCAGATTTGGAGGAAGAACTTGGTGACCGCATGGTGTCTGTTTTAGCAAGTGTGTGTGTGTGTGTGTGTGTGTATACGTATTTGTTCTTTAAGGTGTCTGAATATTCGGTGAGATTATGATCGGAGAAAGTGGAAGGGGGCTGTTCCTTCGTTGGTGCTGCTTTGGCAGAAAAGTTACCAGGGGAACTTCAGGATTTAATCTCCTGCCTTGGGTTGCCATGGAACCCAAATAAGTTAAAAGCAGGTTTGGGGTAGCATAAGGGACAGGTCAAACCAGAAAGCAAGGGAGGGGACAAAGCTTACAGGTAGGGTGAAAATAAAAAGTGGATCTAAATTATTTTTAAGGATGTTAGGGCTGCATGGACCTATACCTCAGCCCCACTAAGGAAGAGTGGCATCACCGTCTTTCGCTCCCGTTCCCCAGTGCTGAAGTGGATCTGTGCTTTATTGCTTCTCGCTTATGTGTGGCCCATGGAAAAGAAGGGGATACCAGTTACTTTGTTAGGGGGTGGGTGGTTAGGAGAGGGGAGAAGAGTGTCCCTTCTGTTCTGAGTTGTGGGGAGGACTGATGTGAGACCTAGCTTGGCCTGGCAGGGAGAGCGCAGCAGCCACTACCACTTCCTCTCACCACCCCAGTAGGTGCACATGAGGCTGAGATTGCAAGGCATAGCACTCAACCCAGTGGCCACTGGGTTCTTGGTTTTGGGGACAAGCATGAAGGGCAGAGCTGGGGGTTGCATCAGTGATGTTGTGAAACCCGTTTACCAAGTAAGCGTCCCTTTAGAGACTGAGCGCCCCATGCAGTCAGATGAGCTTTTCAGAATTGCTCTGTGGATGTGCAAGTTTATAGGGCCCCATCCTACTCAAAATAAAACCTGGGGACAGGGGGTGGCAGAAATTCACAGATAAGGGGGGCTGGAGATGGCACTGCTCAGCTGCTAGACAGGAAGGTGGATAGACAAGGCAGGTGAACTCCCCTGGGCATGGAGTCACACAGACCAGGGAATACCCATCTTACACTTTGACAGGGGATCTGGTGGCTTAAGAGGAGGACCTCTTGGGGGCTTGAGGGTGCATTGGGGAATGAATGGACAAAGAGCTACTTCATATGCCTTTTATCCCCTGAGTTTGCTAACAGGGGCATGAGGACTAATTTTAGCCATGTACTTTCGGTCCTCTATGACTCATGGAGGGCCACTCTAGATGCACAGATTACTTGCATCCTTGAAAATGTGACCAGATCATCTCATCTCTAATTTTCCCTCAGGTTTCAACTTGAATGTCATTTCCGAGGCTCCTCATCTGTTTAGGTGCCCCCTCCATAATTCCCCAATGCATACTATTCTTTTTAGTCACGGTGGTTTCTTTATAGTTGGGCTTTTGAAGGGCCATTCTGACGGTTATGGAAATAGACATGGTTGACACTGAGAAAGCAGGGTTGAATTTGGTTTCAGGCACATCTTAGGGGTTTTCTTTCTGGAATAACCATCTGTATGTAGCTTTCCGGTTTTCGTGTTTTCTTCCTTTCTGCTTCTCCCACCTGATTCTCCGAGAGCTTCCTTGCCTGAGCACATCCTGCCCCCTACCTTGCCATCTGGGCAGGGGCTGGGGTGGGCCTGGGGTGGGGACAGGAGGAGCAAGAGGGCCTTACTTTCATTTTTGAATCTTCTTTCTTTGGTGTTTACCTTCAGGGAACTGACCCTTGCAAAAACAAACAAACAGTTGTGTATTTAAACACACATATGTTTTTTTTTTCTTTTCACATTCCCGGCACAGCCACTGCCTGGCTGTTGCCTTCTCTGAGCCGCGGTCTCAGGAAGGGTGGCGTTTTAAGCAGGATGAATTGCTGCTCTTCTGCACCCTGGGCCATCAATCTTGCCTTGAACGCTGGTTCTGCTGGTCTGCGGGCTCAGGCTCATCTTTCTGGGACAGACTTATTTACGGAGCCATGGCTAAGGTAATCTCACTCCCTGGCCCTGCAGCCTGGGCCTCTCTTGGCCACTCTTAAAAATAGCCCAGGATGAAGAGAGAGAGAGGGAGAGAGAGAGAGAGAAAGAGAGAGAGAGAGAGCAAGCACGCGCCAGGGTCTGGTTACCTCCTGTGCTCAGGGGCTGATCTCACCTCGCCACCACCGTCTGTGTCTGGCAGCTCGGCCCTCCTCAGGGGCTGCTGGACAGGATCATGGCCCTGTAGGAGGTGGTTAGCCCGTCAGTCCCTCTAGCTCTGACCTCAAGTCAGTAGTAGTTCCCCTCAAGGGACCGGGGGGACGCCTGGGGAGTAGAGTCCTTCCCAGGTCTCTTTGCTCAGCCAGTTGAGTGGGAAATCTCAGTCCTGGAAGCATCAAGTCCTCTGTGGAGGACAGCTATTCAGAGGACAAGGGTGGGCTTGGGCATTGGCCTGGCATGGTGGGAAATGCAGTGTTGAGGGTGATATCTGCTTTCCACACCCTGCACTTTCCCCTCCCCCAGTGGCAGACACCTTTGCCCATCCCTAGCAGCTGGGAATGGTCCACAGGGGCCATGTTCTTTCCCTCCTTGTGTCCCTAAAAGCCCTCCAGTGGAGGGAGACAAACCAGGCTACAGTTTGGTCTTTGGTCTAAGCAAAGCAGTCATTCCTCGATGACCTTGGGGAGGCCTCATCCTGTGTTAGGCCTGTTTTCTCTCTTGTGCAATTATTAGGTGGATAATTCTGGCTCCTGTCTCACCTCAAAAGGATGTGGTGGGATTGATTAGTCAGATTGGGGGAAGAAGAGTCCGAAGTGACTCCGACTCTGAGGAGCAAGGGCTACAGCACTGCAGCTCTGCTCAAGCTGGCCAGTGGACCTCATTTCTTTTTTTGTGTGTGTTCCTGTTTGGGTGTGTGTGTGTTGGTGTGTTGGATGTGAGTCTATGTGTGTGAGAATGAGATGTGTGTCCCCCACAGTTCACTGATTGTCAACATTGGTCATTTGCCTGCCACCCTGCCTCCAGCCCCCACCTTTCTTTTGCTCTTTTGGATTTGAAGGCTCTGGGCCCCCTTTTCTCTCTTACAGACTCTCTCTGAGTCCAAGCTCCAAGGAGACACCTGAATGGCAGGTGCAGATGAGATAACCAGTCATTTTCAAAAGGCTCAGAGCAACTGAGAGCCAGCAGGCCCCTCCAGCCACCGTCTCACTTTTCTTCCCTGACCCTCCTTCACTCTCTAGTTTCTTCTTAAGCTTCCTCAGTCTTGTTTGCTCTGGGCTGCAGAACTCTGCATCCACTCTTTATTCCCTTCATTTGGATTCCTATCCCTTTCTACCTGTCCCTTATGGGTACTTCCAAGTTTTCTTTAGCAATCACCTTAAACTTTCCTTCTTGACACCCCGTCCCCACTTTACCTTGCTCTTTCCCAGTAGTGGCACACAGCACACTTCATTGTAATGGTTCATTTAATTAACTGTTGCCCCCGCCAGGGCATAAGTTCTATAGGGATGTGGTCTTGTGTGTGTGTGTGTGTGCGCGCGTGCATGCAAGCAGTCCTAGGGATCAAGCCCAGTGCCTTATGCATGCTAGGCAAGTGCTCTGCCTTTAAGACACATGTCCAGCCCAGGACATGACCCTTCTTGTCTTATGCATAATTGCCTAGCACAGTGTCTGCCTCCTCATTTGGGCTTGGTACATATTTGAGTTCATTGTGAATGAATGAATGAATGAATGAGCAAGCAAAAATGAGTCCTGGGTGGGCAATGCTTTTGATGCCCATGCTCATTGCAGAGGTAACTGACCCATGGCCCCATTCTTGCCGGTGGACTCCCTCTCCACCGGTCTCAGCCCCTCATGCTGATGGCCCTCATGGACCACAGGCTCCTCCCGGCTATTTGGCCTGACCTGGGATTCAACAGGAGATCTTGTTCCAGCACCTGGGCGCACTTCAAAGAGGGCAGAAAACAAGAGCTCAGCTTTCGGAATATTGGGTGCCCAGGAAAGAACTGAAGACTCTTGAGCAGCCTCAGTGAGGAGCAGACTCCCCCCAGCACAGGCAGCTGCCTGGACTGGTGGCATCAGTGGCAGCTTGAGACTCACCTCCATCCCCCTACCCCTCCACCCCAATTCCTATTTGAGTCGAACTCAGCCGACTTCCAGCTTATCTGTTCTCCTTGTCTGTTCTCTTCTCCCCCCCACACTAGCTCCTGGCCCCGGTACTCAGGGTGGGGGCTGCTTTTCCCAGCTCGTCCCCCACCAGCCTCTGGCTCCCAAGAGAGCTGCCCCTTTCGCTGCTTCCTGGGGCGGAGGCAGCGGGTTTGGAGGAAATGGGCTCACTGCGACTGACTGACGTCTCCACCTGCTGGCCATCCTGACCCTTGCTGCCTGCAGCTCTCCGGCTGTGTCCCCGCCACCACTGCCGTTACTGTTGCTGCTGCTGCTGCTGCAATATTTTATAACTCATGACCCAGAGACCCTGGGTAGGAGGCATGCCCCAGCAGAGGACCCGGCATGATGCTCCCGCCAGGATCTGCTGCTGTCGGATGCTCCGAACAAGTTTCCCCTGAGGAAAAGTGAGAGGGGGCGGGGAGCTAACCCTCTGACTGTGTTGCTGTCCCCTAGGGACCCTTCCATGAAGACTGAGGCCCACGTAGCTGCTAAGAACCTGCTGGCATGACATCAGCCACGGAGTTTGAAAACGTGGGCAACCAGCCACCGTACAGCCGGATCAATGCCCGCTGGGACGCCCCGGAAGATGAGCTGGATAATGACAACAGCTCAGCCAGGCTCTTTGAGAGGTCCCGGATCAAGGCCTTGGCAGGTACTGCTTGGGGCCACAGGGGTTAGAGAAGCATGTTCACAATCCCAAGGTCCATGCCCCTCCCCACGACAGTGAAGCCTCCGTGCATGTCGGGTGAGCCCTGGCATGGCAGCAATAGAGATGTGTTTGCTGGGCTCAGAGAGGCTAGGCAGCCCTGAGAGGGAGTAGAGGCTCTAGCAGGTTTGCCCCAAACAGCCCCCATTTCTTCCCAGGTCTTTCTGAAGAGCAGGGAGGAGCTGGAGTTGGTGCCAGTTGGGCTCTGCCTTCTGTTGCTCCTGTCTGGAGCAACCTGCGACTAATGTTAAAAGTATGAAAAAGCCTGGGCAAAGGAGTGTGTGAGGGCTAGACAGCCAGGCCCAGGTGCAAGGGGCCTCCTGGGCACCCCAGTTTCCTGCCTGGCCTTGGAGAGAAAAAATATTTTCCTCTCTGTGATCCCCAAAGAAAAGGGTGATTCAATTAGAAATTGAGAAGAGATAGCATCCTCTCCACACTGCCTTAGAAAGGAGGATTTTCTGGATAGAACCTCTCATCTTTAAACTGGAATTAGATTTGTACTTAGCAGGTTCATAATAGATTTTTTTTCTCTCTCTCTCTTTCAGAGAGAGTATCTTACATCTCTAGCAGAAATGGCTTCTCCTCCCCCTGCTGGCTGAGATCTGATTCTTGGAATTTTTTATTTTTATTTTTTCCCACCAACCCTTGTGACTCTTGTCTCCCTGGAACTTGATTTGGGGGCAACTAAATTCTGTCCTAGTATCCTTGGCCAATAAATAGAGGTTGAGTTACACAGGGGTGTGTGGGGAAACTTTCTTCCCCTAATCCACCCATCACCACCCCATCTGGACCTGGTTCCTCATCACTGATTGTGCTCGACTTGTAAGAAGAGCACAGCCTTTCCCATGAGCACTTTCTGGAGTGATTTTTACCCTGTTTCTTATGGTCCTGCTGGAACTTGACGTTCATAGCGATCCTCTTCCTCCTGCCCTTCTTTCCCCTCCACTCCCAGATACTGTGGTCCCTGCTGACCTTGAGCCATGAGCAGGGCTCTAGGCCCCTCTAGAATTATAATGACCATTTATCTCAGAAGTATCTGGGCTTCTCATTCCATAAAAGGAATGCAGTGTCTCTTCTCTCTTGTCATGACAGGGAACTCACTAGAGACTTGGCCATCACCCTTTTGGTTCTGATCTTTACTGGAAGCTCCCTTTCTTCTTCCTTATCTTGTCCTCACCTTTTCTGACCCCAAACAATCCTTCCTTGGTTTTCCTGGGGGAAACATAATAGCTGTGACCCCTTGCTTTTTTGCTTATGTAATTTAACCTCTTTAAATAACCAAACTAAACTGAAACCCTTGAGTTTGTCAGTTTGGTTTTATATTTCTGCTGGCTGGATTTGGCTATGGTGAGCCTGGTGATACAGATGCAGGGACAATGGTAACCATGTTCCATGAGGTTTGCCAACGGATGGAATGAGGTGACCTGTGTAGACGTTATTTGATCTGTTTCATACGTTACCTATATTATAGAAAACCAAGGTAAATTCCATTTTTAACAGTTATTCATTGTACTCTTACTAAGTTTAAAGCTAAACCCCCAGCCAGACACAAGAGGAGAGGGGTAAACCAAAGAAATGAATTCAATATAGCATCTGTCTCTAAGGAGTTTTAATCTATTAGGGAAAAATGAACTATGCTCACAACTAATTAGCATGAGTAGAATTAGAGAATTGTAGGAAAGGCATATAATTTAAATAGCAATGAGAGAGCAAGGGAGGATATGCAGGGAGAATTGTTCCTGGAGGAGAAAGCCATCATGCTGGGGAATTGAAGGGTGCTTGCTCCCGGGATGGGCAGAAAGCCTAAGGGTTACCCCAGGTGGCCTGTTGGTGTGGTAGCCATGTCTGAACTGCCTGGGAAGCTGGTGGAGATGGATTAAAGGGGCAAGCATAAGAGGGCATCACATGGAAACAATGGTCAGTCCTAGGTCCGTCAGGAAAGAGCCTTCACTGACCATGGCTGTGCCTGACACCCTACCCCTCACCAAGAGTGTGTGTGTCCTACCTACCTAAGAATCTGAATGCTCCTGTGGAGTGTCCTGCCTGGACCTTAATGTTTCAGAACATCTGGCTCACAAGTAAACACTTAAGTTTGGGGTCCTTTCAAGATTTTTACAAACAACCAGGCAGTTTATGCTGAGATCCCATCAGAATGACCTCTGCTTTGAAAAGATCCAAATAGAGTGGCTGGCTGGGTGCATTCTGCTGAGTGGGCAAGGTGAAGAAAGGAAGTGTGTCCAGTTTCCCCAGCTTTAACTTCTTGACATTTTTTTCCCCTTCTGTACCATCTTTGGGGCCACCTCAGTAATCCAGGCGGGGGTTGGCCTTTCCAATGAGGCCTTAGGAAGTGGACGCTGCTGTTAGTCTCAGCATGTCAAAGTGGCCTATGGCTGTTTTCCACTTGTAAGAATATTAAGGCCCAGAAGGACTTTAGCCCTGTGTTCCTTTTGGGGTGAAGGCAGTCTGCTTGGAGGTTATGTAGCAGGTGGGGGAAGTTGGTCTGGCATTTTTTTTCTGCAATTGAAGGTGTTGGTCTGTCACCAGACCCGGATTTGAGTCCTGATTCCACCTCTCATGCTACTGCTATGAAAGAATCACTGGCTCAAACTTGATTTCCTGTTTTTAAAATTTGGACAATGGTCAGTCCTAGGTCCGTCAGGAAAGAGCCTTCACTAACCATGGCTGTGCCTGACACCCTACTTTCCCAAGGTGGTTGTGAAAATCAAATAAAGTGCATGAAAATATTTCATCAATAATAAAATGCTAGATGAATTTGGGATGTTATTAATACTAAGAACATTTCCTATAGATACTTTCTGTCCTTTCTCAACTTCTTATGTTCAAGATCATCAGCTCAGTCTTGGTCCTAGTTACCTAGGCCTGTTCCAGGACCTGTTTCTTCTGCTTCACCCCTACCTCCTTTGCCTGGGAAAGCCTGGGTTGAAGAACCAGGAGCAGGGAAATTAGGCAGAGGCTTATGCTTGAAACTCTTGGCTCTGTGCCCTGCCCCTAGACCTCAGATCCATGAGATTAAAGCCCCTTGCCATGCAGGTCTTTCCCTCTATAGGGCCATCTACTCCCACACCATAGCTGTGTCTCCACCATCCAACTGGGTGACACAGGGGACCAAGAAACCAGAGGGTTGATGGGCCGTGTCAGATGCTCTTCTGACTTGGCAGCTCCTCCAAGTCCTTCTCCACCCAGTGACCTGTGGTTGGAAGACCACTGGGCTAACAGGACTCTATCTTTTCTGCTCTTAAAGCCAACTTCCTCTCTGCTCTATAGGAAATACTCCCTCTTCTGCCTTTCCTACTATTCCCAGCTCTTCTTGTCTGGGCCTAAATATGCAAGGTATCTGGTTACTCCGTTTTTTAAAAAAATATATAAAAATCTGACCTCTCTCCAGAATGAATGACTTTTGATCTGAAATGGGGACTCAGCCTGGCTAAAGTGAAGGGGAAGGTAGGGAAGAAAGCTTGCAGAGGGGATGGAATTGACCTTGGCGATGCCAGGGGGAGGGCATGGACCCAGCAGGAGTTATCTCCTTTAGATTTTGGCTTCTTAACCTCAGTCTCTGGCTGGTAACACTTCACAGGGTTAAGTGGTGGGTTACAGGGGACCATTCTGCTGTGCTTTGATGACCGTCTCTAATGTCTTTCTGCTTTTTGGATTAGAGCGATTAGAGGAAGGGGAGCAGTTGAAAAGCCCAAGTTTCTGTCCCTCCAGAAGGGTCTAGCCTTCATGTTTTGATAGGAAGACTCCTAGTGTCTCCTAGAGCCACTGTCCCTGTTGCTCAAACCCGGTTTCTTCTCGTTCTCTTTCTCACACTGGGAGCCACCCTGCACACATGTGGCTGTCCAGATGAGGGATGAAGCACTGCAGACTGCAGGGAAGTACCAGCCAGAGTGCCCGCCCTCTTGACTCTCTCCTCATGGTGGGGGTGGCAGGGAGTCAGGGGGAGGGGGCAGGGGCGGCCTGCTTGCACACCCCTCCTGGCACCAGGTTATGTCCCCCACTGACTCTGGTGAGGATGCCTCCGGGCAGATGTGACCCAGCTGAGAGAGGAGGGGGAGGGGGAAAGCAGCAACAAGATGCCCCCCAAAGAGAAACCCTGTGCATTAGCCTCTCCTCCTTTCTTTCCTCCCACACCCTGCTTCCCTCCTGCTCCCCCTGCCCTGCACATGCACACAGCTGAGTGCCCCCCACCCCCTGCTGGGTGATTTATGGCTCATCAGTACACAGAGGCATCTCAAAGATAGCAGCACATAGAACAGTCCAGAGCCTCCTGAGAGGGACCTGAGAGGAAGAGGGATGACAGGCTCTGTCTCAGTCTTTCTCCTGTTCCTTGTCCAGTCGGGCAGTTGATAAGGGAGAAACTAAACTGAGCTCCTTCATTAAAAACCGAGTGTGTGACATGATGCAGCCTGCTCCATTTTGCCTTTAAATTAGAAGCCAGGGACGTCTCAAATTGGAGGTGAGCTTCCTTTCTGCATTATCTCATGTGGCCTTCTTCCTGGAAATGAGAGGAGGCCCAGTGGTGGGGGTGGATGAGGACAAGCCAAAGAATGTAACAGGGTAGCAGGTGCACCACAGGCCGTGGCCCTGTGCTCGGAAGCACGTAGTTGCTGCCACTTTGACCATCTTCCTGACCCACTGTGTCCAGACCCCAAGGTTAAGTTCTGTAACCAGCAGATATGACATCAGAACCTCAGGTGGGTGGGCCTCAGACCCTGCTGATCCTTGCCCCATCCTCCCTGGCTGCCCCAGTGCTCCCCTAAGAGGGACGCCTGGGCTCCTTCCTTCTGACTTTGGTGACCAAAGGCCTTGAGAGCTCCTCAAGAGATTCTTGGCCTCTCCTTGGACGCCCCCTCTTTACCTGTACCAGGATGATACTGATCCCAAGTGGCCCAGTGACCTAGGAAGGGCTCTGTGTCCAGAGGGCAGAT